ACAAGCAGACATAATGTAAACCCAGATTTGCTTAAAATGCTGCCCTAGGGCTGAGACCTGCTGTATATGTATGTGAAAGCACTGTATTTGGTGAAAATCCAAGATCAAGAGTAAATCAAGCATGGAGTAGGCTTATTTACCCAAAGTTTAGAATATATGTGTAACACAGATGCTCAGGCGCTGGCTCCATTTCTCCACTGTCCCCTGTGAAGGGGCTGCAGTGCTGAGACAGCCACACAGGTCAGGTCAGCCCAACTCTTCCCCAAAAGTAATTTCACTCCAAATTCATAAAAATTTCTTTACTAAATAATATATCTATCATATAACAATGTATCTAAACCACTCTAAAAATGATTTCTATTTCAAAACAATTCTTCTTCCTGAGATTGTATAATTAAAATTTCATTACCTAATGAATCAGACTTCCTTGCTGTCATGAAAGTATATCCATGATGGTGAAAGCTCCATCAAAATCCCATCTAGGGAAATTTTATCTTCATGATCACAGTGACTGGCACAGTGTCTTGCATATAAAGGTTCATAATGCATGCTAACATAATATTCTGGAATTGGTTAGAAAGAATAAGAGTGTCTTTGCTTTATTTGAAGCTTTGTCTACTGCAGAAGGCATTTATATTGTTATGCTTTAGAGTGTTTTATTCTCTTGGATTCCTCCCTCATGTTCTCTGACAAATTGGAAGATGTAAAAGTGTTTGTCTTTGATTACATATCATTAAATATTATTAAATCTTATTAAACTTCAAGATCTTTTTTGCCATGTGAATTCCCACAAAAGCCCGTGATACTGGAAGCAGAGAGCCCTGTAGCTCCTCCCCCAGAACCCCTCCTCCCAGCTCAAGGACAAACACCCCTCCACGTTCCCTGCCTCTTGTTTGTAGAGAAGCTGAAGGCTCTCAGGCCTCCCCGAGTCACAAAAGAGCAGCCTTGAGCAGTTAATGATCAAGACGATAGACTGTCACAGTCTCAGTGTCTGATGCACATTCCTGAGTTTTTTTCTAACAGATACTACAGCTGCCACCAGAGGGGAAAAGCTAACTGCATGATGACTAGACTCCAGCTCTGACATAAGCTGCACCATCTTGAGCCACACCGAGTCTATGCCTGATACCATTCCAAGAACTGATCTCTAGAGAAAGGGATTAACATTTTGCTCATAATAACTCAACTATCTTTGTGGGCATTAAAATGAGTGTAGCTTGTTCTGCTTGTATAGGTAGGTGGAGAGCTAACACTGTCAGTAAGGAGATGCTATAGAATCATGTTGACATCTTCCACACTGAGAATACAGTGCTCCAGGTCAGCAGGAAGCAGATGGAGATGATGGACCTTCACTGCAATCCCACAGAAATGGAATGATGTCTGACAGTGGAGAATTGAAAGCAACTCTTTAGCCCTTTTCCTGTTTACCCATTTCTGTCCCTGCCTAACCTTAAAAACCTAATTATAGAAATGAGATCCCTAGGCAATTGAAACTAACTCCTAATTTGGGCTCTCCTGAATGCACACCATGCAATGCCTGACTTGTTGATTCTTCTCCTAGATAAAAAGAGGTAAGAATTCAGCAGTTAAAGAATGACTAGCTCTCCACACACAACTGTTGCTTTAGCAAACTTGCAGGCAGATCACTTGGGCAAGATAACATCTGAACAGAGAGTCAGCCAGCCTGCAGCCACAGAGGAAAATGCAGAACCCAGTCTCCTGCCTCCACCACTCCCTGAGATTCTCCCTCTGTTTTCCTTTGAAAACCCACCATGACAGACCAGAATCTTGGGAGCTTGTCTCAGGACACGAGTCCATCCTCTCCTTAGATTGCTGGCTTTTCTGATTAAAGCAATTTTCTTCCTACTGACATTTGCCTCTCAAGTTATTTGAGTAGCAAGCTGCCAAACCTGAGTTCAATCATAGTATCAAAATGCTTTGAAACAAAATCATAGGCTGATAGAGTTCAAAATGAAATTGCACAATTAGTTTATAAAGCCATCCATTCATTAAAAATGCCAATTATTCCAAATCTGAAATATGAATTTTGGATAGCTAAATATTACTTAAAATGCTTCATAAACATTATATTATTGAGAGAAAATGCAAAAGTTAGCAATGAAGTTAAAAGGAAAAATACAAATTAAACTCAAGATAATTTCTCTTTAAAAACTAAATTTTTTAATAGGACATTTAAATGGCATGAATTAGGTCAAAGATCATATTCACTGAGTGTGGTGAAATTTCCTATTTCATTCATAAGTGGTTTCTGGTTAAAGATATTTCTCAGTGTATGGATAGAATATTCTTTTGAAAGATTAAAGGATTTTAACATGCAATCTAAGGGAAAAATGCACACAGCTATATAGTGTTTTGATCAAGTTACTCCACCCCTGTCTTTGTGGTCCTGCCTCCCTTGAAAGATGTTCTGACGTGTTAACCTAGACATACAAAATACAAGGCTCTATTAAGTCAGTCACTTTTTATGATCAGGTTTTACATGTATTATAACATGATATTTTTTAATTTAGCAGTAGTTTATGATATAATTTTGGATTAATAAAATCTACAAATAATCTAAGATCTTAAAATACACATTGCTTCTTTGCACAAATGTGAAAACAATTTTTTATAGATCTGAAGATATATACTTTACATTTTCTCACAGTGTGTTAATTCATTTGTCTCCCAGGTGTTAGTTTACTGTTTACTTCTTTAACAAATTAATGAAATATATTCATAACCATGTCTTTTCAAGAGTATTCATTTGAACAGGTTTGGTTAAAGGTGTGCAAACAATTCATGAACAGTACAATTCTGTTATGTTGAAAACTATTATTCATTAAGACAAATAACTTATTAATCTGAACTTTCTAATTGCCTTCAGAAAAAGACTAGAAAAAAACTGACTAATTTTTTAACTTAGAGACAGTTCAAGGGATCTGTGCATAGCTTCTATCAACAATATCAAAAAAGTTGTTAGTCTGAACTAAATAGCTAAACAGGTGATGCCTTGAAATCCTGTTCTTCTCGAAAACTACAGCAATCAAAAAAGTAACCATCAAGAAAACCATCAATCCAAAGGCAAAGTGAAATTCTCCCTTAGGCTTTCCACCTTAAACCTGAATGACAATTCATCATCATCACTATTTTTTAGTGCCAAGACAATTTAAGTGACAAGGCTTAATTTAGCTTAATTTATAAGTTCAATGGTCTTATACACTGAAAAAGACACTACAGTTCCAACCTCTTGACCACTCATTTCTTAGAATATATTTACAAGTAGACTAAACAGCAAAAAGAAAAAAAATCCTATGTGGTCAACTAAGATAATACATATACATAGTACTTCCTATTTAAATTCCATATTTCAGCAATTCATGTTACAGACATTATTCTACATCAAAAGCATCCATAAAATTTAGGCAACAGTCAAAACATACAAGTCAAATACTGATCAAGTTGATTCAATCAGCCTCTTCGTGTGGACTTCAAAAATAAAAACCGGCCATGATGACTACCCACACTTGTAAGCAGTGTTTAAATTTGAGCACATAGAAGATGGGACACAAGCAAATCATACAGACTTTTTATGTAAAGTACCTACTTTCCTACCAATCATAATACTAATCAGAGTTCTAGTCTGCAGAGAGGAGAATGATGCAATTAAGGAGGAAAATGGGCTAGAAGGATGGTTTCCAATTTCCATTTCCAAGATGGCCGTTTCCAAGATGGCCCTAGGG